CGCTGGCCACATGACCTGGAAGCTATACGCTGGCTCCCTCGGCCAGTAAAGTCAGGAGTCCCTTTACCTTTTTTTAAGAGAAGTAGGTGGGGGGGAATTGGTAATGGAAAGGCAGAGGGAGAAGTCAAAGAATTCTGGAAATGCTAAATGATGAGATGGAAGATTTGTTTGAATTTAAATTTGTTATGTAAAACTTCATAAAAATATAAAGGTAAAGGTACCCCTGCCCGTACGGGCCAGTCATGTCCGACTCTAGGGTTGCGTGCTCATCTCGCTCTAGAGGCCGTGAGCCGGCGCCGTCCGAAGACACTTCCGGGTCACGTGGCCAGCGTGACGAAGCTGCAGCTGGCGAGCCAGCACCAGCGCAGCACACGGAAATGCCGTTTACCTTCCCGGTATAAAGCGGTACCTATTTATCTACTTGCACTTTGACATGCTTTCGAACTGCTAGGTGGGCAGGCGCTGGGACCGAACGACGGGAGCTCACCCCGCCACGGGGATTCGAACCGCCGACCATACGATCAGCAAGTCCAAGGCACTGAGGTTTTACCCACAGCGCCACCCGCGTCCCTTCATAAAAATATATTAAGAAGGAAAAGATCGGCCTTGCCTTTGGAACCCGGGTGCTCTCTTTTTCTAAGCCCAAAGGAGGCCTCACATCCATCTCTCTGCCCTGAAAGTGATCAATCTGCCGCAAGAGAACAGAGGGGATTTCAGAGGCTGCCAAGCTTCTAACACCAGCATGAGAGACAAACCAGGACAAGAACTTGCAAAGGGGTGAAAACGAACATGGCGACTATAGGCGAGATTTGAGACGGTGGTGCAATAAGGTTTGCCTTGCGTCAGGCTTTTGCACAGCTGCCGCTCTGGCCAGGGGCAAGACCTCTCCCAGTGGATTCATGCCAAGAGCAGAGAGCCATTGACGTACATTGCACTATTCTATTTTCCCCCCACAGTAGAGCGTAACTGACGGCACAGAAACAAAGTTGACGCATATGTGGCTGAGCATTCCACATTGCGTCCAGGTCAATGCCGGATTTACGCATAAGCTAAACAAGCTAGAGCTTAGGGCCCCAGTCTCTTGGGGGCATCAAAATTTTTTAAAGGAAAATCAAACTGGATGTACATTTCCAAAAAAGGGAAAGGTAAAGGTCCAGTCGTGGACGACTCTGGGGTTGCGGCGCTCATCTCGCTTTACTGGCCGAGGGAGCCGGTGTACAGCTTCCGGGTCATGTGGCCAGCATGGCTAAGCCGCTTCTGGCGAACCAGAGCAGCGCACGGAAACGCCGTTTACCTTCCTGCCGGAGCGGTACCTATTTATCTACTTGCACTTTGACGTGCTTTCGAACTGCTAGGTTGGCAGGAGCAGGGACCAAGTGACGGGAGCTCACCCTGTTGCGGGGATTCGAACCGCCGACCTTCTGATCAGCAAGTCCTAGGCTCTGTGGTTTAACCCACAGCGCCACCCACATCCCACATTTCCAAAATATAAGATAAAAAAACAAATAAGATAAAATAAAACCTACATCAACAGAGCTTTGTGCTGTGTAGGCTCCAATTTGTTATGTGCAAATGGCTTTAGATACCTACAAGGCCCATAAATTACCATACAGCATATATTCAACACACAAAAACAGGGACAATTTGTTGTTGACAGAGGACAGCTGGGCATATAAAGGGACCCATTACCTTCAGTAGCTTAGGGCCTCATCAAACCTAAATTTGGTCCTGATCCAGGTGTTTCTAACTGCTGGCCCAAGGCTTCACCTGAAATTTTTGCAACCACAGCTTTCTGCTATGACCATTATATGCCTGGGAAGTTGGCCTTTTCAGGTTTTTTTGTTCGGCTTTTGGTCATTAAAAAAAAATAAATTAGTTTTTTCAGATTTTAAAAATTGACAGACAGCCAACATAGAGATTTCTGAAGAATCTCATGAACTTCCCTCCTCCCCTCTGTGGGTCTATAAGGACCTTTTCCTCTCGAATCTTGTCTATTAATCCAAATCTATGAAATCTCCATTACACCCAAAATTTAACATTAAGCTACAAGTGTTATTCCAATCCTACTAATAGTTTTTAATTTATTGCAATGGTTTTTAAGGTAAATTCTATATTTTCCCCATTCCTTATTTTTAAAAAAAATTGGTCCGCCTGATTTCTGATTCTTCCGGTCGTTTTTGCCAAATCGATTAGGATTAGGGATACTGGAGTAAAGTCTTCAGGAAGAATACATGCACTGGGCAAAATATTGTACACAAATGCATTATATTACAGGACACATTTAAAGGCTCTGAGAACATTCAGATGCTGCCTTCTACCAGATCAGACCAACTCAGTACTGTCTGTGCACCATGGGTAGGCAACCTAACGCCCAGGGGCCGGATCCGGCCCAATTGCCTTCTAACTCCAGCCCACGGACAGTCCGGGAATCAGTGTGTTTTTACATGAGTATAATGTGCCCTTTAGGGACACGAGTGGCGCTGTGGGTAAAAGCCTCAGTACCTAGGGCTTGCCGATCGAAAGGTCGGCGGTTCGAATCCCCGCAGCGGGGTGCGCTCCCGTAGTTCGGTCCCAGCGCCTGCCAACCTAGCAGTTCGAAAGCACCCCCGGGTGCAAGTAGATAAATAGGGACCGCTTTATAGCGGGAAGGTAAACGGCGTTCCATGTGATGCGCTGGCTTGCCAGATGCAGCTTGTCACGCTGGCCACGTGACCCGGAAGTGTCTCCGGACAGCGCTGGCCCCCGGCCTCTTAAGTGAGATGGGCGCACAACCCTAGAGTCTGTCAAGACTGGCCCGTACGGGCAGGGGTACCTTTACCTTTTAATGTGCCCTTTAATTTATAATGCATCTCTGGGTTATTTGTGGGGCAAAAGAATTCGTTCATTATTTTTTCCAGAATATAGTCCGGCCCCCACAAGGTCTGAGGGACAGTGGACCAGCCCCCTGCTGAAAAAGTTTGCTGACCCCTGGTCTACACCATGGGTAGGCAAACTAAGGCCCGGCGGCCGGATCCGGCCCTATTGCCTTCTAATTCCGGCCCGCGGACAGTCCGGGAATCAGCATGTTTTTACACGAGTAGAATGTGTGCTTTGATTTAAAATGCATCTCCGGGTTATTTGTGTGGCATAGGAATTCATTCATAATTTTTCCCCCAAAATATAATCCAGCCCCCCACAAGGTCTGAGGGGCAGGGGACAGGCCCCCTGCTGAAAAAGTTTGCTGACCCCTGGCCTACACTGACTGGCAGCAGCTCCTCAGGCTTTTAGGCAGGGAACTGGAGGTGAGGAGGACAGAATTGACCCTGGAGGCTCCTCCCTGTTCAGAAGATGCTCAAACACAGCTACTTTCTCCACTGAGAGGGCTCAGCAACCTCGCTGGAGATCTGGCATCCTCTAGTGGAACATCCCTTCAAAAACATTCCCGTTTCCTTGTGGAGTCCACAACAGCCCGTTTGCAACCTGATTGTGGAGGCACTCTGTTATAAGGGGGAGGGCTGCTCCTTTTCCCTTATGGGGTACCCAAGAGCCCATATATGACACAACCCTGATGGCAGAAAGTGAGGCGGAATTAAAGAACCTTCTAATGAGGGTGAAAGAGGAGAGCGCAAAATATGGTCTGAAGCTCAACATCAAAAAAACGAAGATCATGGCCACTGGGCCCATCACCTCCTGGCAAATAGAAGGGGAAGAAATGGAGGCAGTGAGAGATTTTACTTTCTTGGGCTCCATGATCACTGCAGATGGTGACAGCAGCCACGAAATTAAAAGACGCCTGCTTCGTTTACCTTCCCGCCAGAGCGGTACCTGTTTATCTACTTGCACTTTGACGTGGTTTCGAACTGCTAGGTTGGCAGGAGCAGGGACCGAGCAACGGGAGCTCACCCCATCGCGGGGATTTGAACCGCCGACCTTCTGATCGGCAAGCCCTAGGCTCTGTGGTTTAACCCACAGCACCACCCGCGTCCCATTTGGTACATTTATGAACATCTATTATATATATCTCCTGCCAACCTAGCAGTTCGAAACCACGTCAAAGTGCAAGTAGATAAATAGGTATCGCTCCGGCAGGAAGGTAAACGGCGTTTCTGTGCGCTGCTCTGGTTCGCCAGAAGCGGCTTAGTCATGCTGGCCACATGACCTAGAAGCTGTACGCTGGCTCCCTCGGCCAATAAAGCGAGATGAGCGCGCAACCCCAGAGTCGGTCACGACTGGACCTAATGGTCAGGGGTCCCTTTACCTTTACCTATTATATATATATAAGACCTTAACATTCTTATAACAAGCCTCTCCCCATCCCTCTCTCTACCTGCTTTGGACAGTAATGTGGGGTCTCAGGAAAAGCCACAGGGGCCTGTTCTTATGCAAGGTAATTCTGAAAAGAGGAATGCTACCCCCGCGAGTTAGCAGAGAACCTCAGCCACACTTTTGAGGCTGCAGGGCTGCAAAATAAGGCGGATGGACTCTGTCAGTACTAAGCCGTCCCCTCTCCAATGCGCATTTTGCAGCAGTTGCATTCTGCAGAGGGTTCCAGACAAAGTAACAGTGCACCAAGGTGGATTGATTCTGCTTTATTGGTGGCTCTGCGATGCTTCCCTGAAGCTGCACCACATGCTTGCTAAAGCACAACATCTGCAGAACGAAGCGTTACAGGGTTTCAACAGGAGGTTACAGAATGTGCCCCAGCGGGGGTGAAGCAGTGTGGCTGCCCCCGAACTTTTGCAGGTACGAAACAGTGCGGAAAGCAGGACTTGTGTGTGACAGCCCTGGCAGCATCCCATGCACAAATCATCGTAAATGTTCAATACAAAAGTCACCTGGAAATATCCCTGCACGTAGCCACATCAGTCCTAAGCGTGTGATTTCTTAACAATGACCACCACCACCCCTCGATTCACAGTTTATATCTGAAATTCCCAGAGCTTCGGCTGGTAAGAGAAGCTGCAACTGTTGTGACCCTAATCACCTCCTCCTAAACATGAACACAAACCAAGAATCCTGCGATTATTATTATTATTATTATTATTAAAAAAGCAAAAATGGCTTCTGATACAAAGAATAATAATAGGAAAGAAAATGTACCACGAGGCTACTTCAAAACGATAAAGGATAAAAGATTCAGATCCTGGAAAAAGATTTAAAATGTTTGGATCTCTCTACCTAGGCAGATGTTTGTTACTACAAACACTGGCCTTTAGGGAAGGAAGGTCTCATAACCTACTTTTCGCTGCCCGCAACCCAGAGACACCCTGATATTTGTGAAGTGAAGCTCCCTCCGATATCCGGAACACAAGCCATGTGGTTTCTAAATGCAGCCTTGGTCCCAGAAAACCTGCCACGAGGCCTCTAGCAGAAAAGACCCACAGGGTGAATGGGGCGTCATGCTCTGCCCTGGAATGGCTGATTTAGCGAGGCAAAAGCCGTCTCTCGCACATCACATCTGCACCATAATCTCCCATAATCTGGGCACCATAATGTCCCATAATCTGGGCAGCAGTCTCTCTGCACTCAGAAGCCCAGCGAGCAAACGGAAACAAGACTTTTGGGCTTCAAAGTTTGCCGTCGGAACCTCATTCGGGGGAAGAGAATGCCGACGTCCCGCTCTCTTCAAACCCTCAAGAAGGCCGGCGGATCCTCAGGCCGAAAAAGGGCAGAACGGAAAGCCCCGAGCAAGACAGGATATTTTTAACAAGCACAAAGTTCCAGCTTCAGGCTACAAGTCCCGAGCACTCAGGGATGTCGCCCGCCATGGGTCCCAGCAGGAGCGCTGCATCATGGGATACGTAGTCCAGGAAGCACGCCACACCGGTGATTAAATAAGGAGCCGTAGGTCAAAGAGTCGTTGGGACGCTGGGCCAGGAGGCTGGGTGAGGGTGCGCAGCCCTCGAACCCACGGCCGAGACGGATCTGCTCCCGTCTCCTCACCCCGCCCCAGGAGGGGAGGGCGCTAGCGGATGCCGCAGTCCCCTTCCCCGCCCCGCAGCTTCTCCAGCTCGATGGAGCGCACCAGCTCTTGCACGAACTTCATCTCGGACGCCAGCTGCTTGGCCAGGGCCTCGTAGCGGTTCTCCAGCTTCCGGTAGCGCCGTTTCAGCCCGTTGGCAGCCAGCGAGGCGCTCCGGGCCTCCTCCTGCGCCTGGCGCTTGAGGGCCTCCGTCTTCTGCATCTCCTGGCGGATCTGCCGCAGGTCCTGGCCCACGGCCTCGTTCTCCTCCTTGTACCACAGCTCCTTCTCCTCGTAGATGGAGCGCAGGGCCTCGATGTCTTCGCGGAAGGACTTCTTGCTCCGCTGAAGCTCGCGGAGGCCCTCCTCGGCCGCCGCCACCTCCTCCATCACCTTGGAGAAGCGCTCAAAGTTGACGTAGGTGTTGTTGGGCGGCATGCTGGAGTGGGACTTGATGGTGTACTCCTTCAGGCGAGTCGTCTTGAGGCGGCGGCGCTCGGGCTTCTTGCCGTTGTCCTCGTTGCGGACGTTCCGGCGCTTGATCACCTGCAAAGGGTCAGCGGGGAGACGCTCAGAAAAGAGGCTCAGGCAGTTGCTTCTCTTCCCCCCCCCGCCATCCCCATTCCAGGGGGTCAGTCTAGAGAAGGGGTCCCCAAACTAAGGTTCACAAGGGACTCATTTATCCGGCCTGCGGCGACCCCTGCCGCCTGCTCTTACCAGCGCTGCACAGCTGCCCACTTCCGGGTTGGAGGAGCACCGGAAATACCGTATTTTTCACTCTATAAGACGCACATTTCCCCCTCCAAAAATGAAGGGGAAATGTGTGTACGTCTTATGGAGCGAATGCAGGCTCCTTGGCCTCAGCGATAGTAACGCGAAGCCTCCGAAGCGCAGTGGGAGTGCTCCTGCTGCGCTCCGGAGGCTTCGGGTTGCCTTCACTGAAGCCTGGAGAGCGAGAAGGGTCGGTGCGCACCGACCCCTCTCGCTCTCCGGGCTTCAAAGATAGCCGCCTGAAGCCTCCGGAGCACAGCGGGAGCTCCTGCCGCACTCTGGAGGCTTCGGGTTCCTTTCGCTGAAGGGTAGGTGCCCCTTCAGCTAAGGCGCAGCGCCCCTTCAGCCAAGCGGGAGGAGAAATGGAAGGGGCTCCGTTTCTCCTGCCGCTTTGCTGAAGGGGCGCTGCGCAGAGAGGGGGAGATTTTTTTTCTCTTGTTCTCCCCCTCTAAAACAAGGTGTGTCCTATGGTCAGGTGCGTCCTATAGAGCGAAAAATACGGTAACTTGTGCGCATGCACAAGCGTTATTTGAGCATGCGCAAGCGTTAGTTCCTGTGCACCTCCGGGTCAGAGGAGGCCCGTGCACATGCGCACAAGCTATTTCCGGTGCTCCTCCGACCCAGAAGTGTGCCAGAAATAGCGTGTGCGCACACATATGGGCACGCGCTCCTCCAGCATGGAGACACCGGCCCAAGGCGCAGTAAGTTTGCTGACCCCTGGCCTAGGGGACCCACAGAGTCTCTCCCCACTCAGCAACACTACCCATCCTTTTCATCTGAGACCAAAAGTTTCTTTCTTTTAAATCTTTACACATCTATTTACTTGGGGTTTGGGCTGGGGGTTCATCAGTATGCGGACGATACCCAGCACTACCTCTGTTTTAAATTGGAACCAGTGAAGGCAGTGAATGTCTTGTGTGAGTGTCTGGAGGCAGTTGGAGGATGGATGGCGGCTAATGGATTGAGGTTAAATCCTGATGAGACAGAAGTACTGTTTTGGGGGGACAGGGGGCGGGCAGATGTGGAGGACTCCCTGGTCCTGAATGGGGTAGCTGTGCCCCCGAAGGACCAGGTGCGCAACCTGGAAGTCATTTTGGACTCACAGCTGTCCATGGAGGCACAGGTCAATTCTGTGTCCAGGGCAGCTGTCTACCAGCTCCATCTGGTACGCAGGATGAGACCCTCCCTGCCCGTGGACTGTCTTACCAGAGTGGTGCATGCCCTGGTTATCTCCTGCTTGGACTACTGCAATGCGCTCTACGTGGGGCTACCTTTGAAGGTGACCAAGAAACTACAGCTAATCCAGAATGCGGCAGCTAGACTTGTGACTGGGAGTGGCCCCTGAAACCACATAACACCAGTCCTGAAAGACCTACATTGGCTCCAAGGACATTTCCAAGCACGAAATGTTGGTGCTGAAATTTAAAGCCCTAAACAGCCTTGGCCCAGTATACCTGCAGGAACGTCTCCACCCACATTGTTCTGCCCGGACACTGAGGTCCAGCTCCGAGGGCCTTCTGGCAGTTCCCTCCCTGCGAGAAGTGAGGTTACAGGGAACCAGGCAGAGGGCCTTCTCGGTGGTGGCACCCACCCTGTGGAACGCCCTCCCATCAGATGTCAAGGAAACAAATAACTATCTGACTTTTAGAAGACATCTGAAGACAGTCCTTTTTAGGAACGTTTTTAATGTTTGATGTTTTCTCCTGTTTTTAATATTCTGTTGGCAGCTGCCTAGAGTGGCTGGGGATGGGCCAGATGGGCGGGGTATAAATAATAAATTCTTATTCTTGTTCTTAATACAATCCTTTTTTCTGAGACCAAAAGTTTCTTTCTTTTAAATTTGTACACGTCTGTCTACCTATCAAATCTATGCTTCCAGGTGCCATAAGAAAGCTGCAGAGATAGCGCAGGATAGTGCGCACCCCGGAAATGATCTCTTTCAGCTTCTGCCTTCTGGAAGAAGGTACAGGGTTATACAGTGGTGCCCCGCAAGACGAATGCCTCGCAAGACGAAAAACTCGCTAGATGAAAGGGTTTTCCATTTTTTGAGTCGTTCCGCAAGACGAATTTCCCTATGGGCTTGCTTCTCAAGATGAAACGTCTTGCGAGTTCTTGCGAGTTTGTTTCCTTTTTCTTAAAGCCGCTAAGCCGTTCATAGCCGCTAAGCCGCTAATAGTCGTGCTTCGCAAGACGAAAAAACCGCAAGACGAAGAGACTCGCGGAACGGATTAATTTCGTCTTGCGAGGCACCACTGTAAAGACTAGGACTAGCTGCCCGAGAAACAGTTTCTATCCAAATGCGATTTTGGTTTTAAACGCAGTGTAAGGTAGTCTCTGTGGGAGTATATTGTATTCAATTATGGGGTATGAGAGTTTTTAGGGGGCTAACCAGGCTGGGATAGCTGGCTTGTTGGCTTTTGAATGTCTGATGTAGATTTTTCCCAATTTCGTTTTTCTGTATGGGACAATGACAATAAAGATTATCGTATCGTAACCTAACAAAAGGGGAAGGGAGGGGAAGCACCGCGGACCCCTCCAGTCACCTTGCAGCCCCCAGTTTAAAAAAAAGGAGGAGGATTCTAGAATCCATTTTGAACCTACAGGTCACAGTCAGGGTGAGCTTGTCAAGATGAATGTGCCCTTCTTCTGCCACCACCGCCAACCTGTGTGCTCCAGCCACTTTCACCATCCTTCCCCAGCAGTGCCATCTAGCAGTGAAGGCTGCTTACTGGGCGATTTCGTTTCCCAAGGTGGCAGGCAGCTCAATCCCCGTCTCCTGAACTTGCCGGCTCCCATCTTCTCCCCAAACTGCCCTCCTCAACATCCCCTTCTTCCTCTGCTTAGTGGCTTAGATCGTAAGGCTTTGCTACCGATCTTACAAATCTGGAAGCCCACCTGGTTCAAGAGCGGGTGAGAAAAATATAGCTTAGGAACCGCAAGCCAACATTCTGAAACGTCTCGGTTTTTACCTTAATCCACGGGTGCTCCAGGCTCTGGTCGATCGTCATCCGCTTCCTGAAACAGAACAGGGAGCAGAGGTCAGTTAATAATAATAATAATAATAATAATAATAATAATAATAATAATAATAATAATATTTATACTCCGCCCTCCCCGGCCAGAGGCGGGCTCAGGGCGGCTCACAACAGTAAAATTACAGTAAAAACATAAGGGGGAGGGGATACCAATTTAAAATACAGGTTAAAATGCAATTTAAAATGCAGTTCTGAATTCACTCCACAAATATCTCAACAATAAAACGTCATTGTTTGACTTCCATCGCTTCCATCGAATGAATTTGGAGGGAATTCTTCCAATTTTTCTTCTTTTTGCAATTTTTCCTTTTCTCTTTTTTGTTCTTTTTTTTAAATGTGTGTGCTTATGTGAAAAAAATATGTATGTCTATATTTGTATGTATTTTGTAATAATTACGCTTCAAAGTTGACCAGCCGGGTAGGGGAAGAGGCGAACGCGAGGCTGCAATAGTCCCCTATCCCTGTTCTATGCTTTTAGAAGCTGCACGAGGCGGCAACGCATGAGCAAGTACAAGCTAAACAGGTTTTGCGCATAGGTGTCTCACGCTGCCTAATTTATTCTACTTTCTCCGAGGCTTCGGGAAAGGCAAGGAGGGACGTCGGAGGCCTTGAACAAATGTAGGTCAACAGGAAAAATATATTTGCCTTGGGAAAACACCCTTTTCTTTCATTGTTGTCGTTTAGGAACATCTGGCCTGGCAAAGACATCTGTGCAGCCTGGCAAAGAGATCTACACTGGCTCCCAGGACGTTTCCGAGCACAATTCAAAGTGTTGATGCTGACCTTTAAAGCCCTAAACGGCCTCAGTCCTGTATACCTGAAGGAGCATCTCCACCTCCATCGTTCTGCCCAGACACTTAGGTCCAGCTCTGAGGGCCTTCTGGCGGTTCCCTTGCTGTGAGAAACCAAGTTACAGGGAACCAGGCAGAGGGCCTTCTCGGTGGTGGCACCCGCCCTGTGCAATGCCCTCCCACCAGATGTCAAAGAGAAAAATAACTACCAAACTTTTAGAAGACATCTAAAGGCAGCCCTGTTTAGGGAAGCTTTTAATGTTTAATAAGGTAAAGGTACCCCTGCCCGTACGGGCCAGTCTTGACAGACTCTAGGGTTGTGCGCCCATCTCACTTAAGAGGCCGGGGGCCAGCGCTGTCCGGAGACACTTTCGGGTCACGTGGCCAGCGTGACAAAGCTGCATCTGGCGAGCCAGCGCAGCACACGGAACGCCGTTTACCTTCCCGCCAGTAAGCGGCCCCTATTTATCTACTTGCACCCGGGGCTGCTTTCGAACTGCTAGGTTGGCAGGCGCTGGGACCGAGCAACGGGAGCGCACCCTGCCGCGGGGATTCGAACCGCGACCTTTCGATCGGCAAGCCCTAGGCGCTGAAGCTTTTACCCACAGCGCCACCCGCGTCCCACAGTTTAATAGGTTCTTGTATTTTAGTGTTTTGTTGGAAGCCGCGCAGCGTGGCTGGGGGGACCCAGAAAGATGGGCGGGGTATAAATAATAAATTATTGTTATTATTATTATGCCAAAGCTTGCGCCGAGCGCATTAGCGTCGCGCTGAGAGAGACCGAGAGGTTCCGCGTTCAAATTTCACCGCTGCCATGAACTTTGAGGGGGTGGAGGGTAGGCTACATGCAGCGATGGCCAAATGTGGCCCTCCAGCTGTTTTGGGACTACAACTCCCATCATCCCTAGCGAACAGGTCAGGGATGATGGGAACTGTAGTCCTAAAACAGACACCCATAACCCATCACCCGCGTTTCGTACTTGGGATCCTTGACGAGCAGCCGTCGAATGAAGTCCTTTGCCAGTTCGCTGGTGTTGCTAAAGTACTCCTCGTCAAAGTCATAGTTGACAGCAGAAATGTTGGTCAAGGTTTCCTGCTTCGTTTCGCCCAAGAACGGAGAGGCGCCGCTTAAGCTGCGAGGGCGAAAGGATAAAAAACAGCTTTATTTAGGCGTTTTGTAAGAACTAACCAAACAATTTAAATCAGGCATGTCCAAAGCCTGTTTCAGGGGCCTAATCCAGTCCATTTAATCCAATCCCCACGGCAGTATATCTCCTGGGGTAAAATCCTTAAAAAATCTCAGCAAAACTTCAATCCTTAAAAAAAACCCAACAACTTTGGGGTAAAATTGTAAAAAGAGCTCAACCACTTTGGTCGGCCCTCACGCGTGTTCACTTCCTCAAATCTGGCCCTCTTTGGAAAAAGCTTGGGCACCCCTGATTTAAAACATCAATAAAAATCCACAGATTTTTTTTTAAAAAATAATTTTTAAAGCAGGAATCCAAGTAGACGAAGAACATACCATACTCTGGAATCGAAAGCTAGCAAAAGTCTGGGAGGGTTAAGTACATAAGGAGGTAGAATCATAGAATTGTACAGTTGCAAGGGAACCCCAAAGGTCCTCTAGACCAACCCCCTGCCAAGCAGGGAGCACGGATAAAGCATCCCTGACAGGGGGCCAGCCAATGTCTCTTTAAAAAGCTCCGATGGAAAAAAACACCATCCACAAGCAGGATTCGAACACATAGCCACTCTCCCATCCCATCCAGAAGGCTCTTGTTATGTCTCTATGATCTTTACGGTATCCGCTGCTCTCGGCCCCCAAGGCTTGCTTGACCCCAAAGCAAGCTGCTGTGCCCTTCGACCACCAGAAGGGCAGCTATGGCTTCCTGGCTGCGCTAAGATCTCCACCCACCGTGAACCCGAGTTACTGAAGCCAACAGCATGCGCTAAGTGCCGGACCTAAAAGGTAAAGGGACCCCTGACCATTAGGTCCAGTCGTGGCCGACTCTAGTGTTGCGACGCTCATCTCGCATTATTGGCCGAGGGAGCCGGCGTACAGCTTCCGGGTCATGTGGCCAGCAGGACTAAGCCACTTCTGGCGAACCAGAGCAGCGCACGGAAACGCCGTTTACCTTCCCGCCAGAGTGGTACCTATTTATTTACTTGCACTTTGACGTGCTTTCAAACTGCTAGGTTGGCAGGAGCAGGGACCGAGCAACGGGAGCTCACCCCATTGCAGGGATTCGAACCGCCGACCTTCTGATCGGCAAGCCCTAGGCTCTGTGGTTTAACCCACAGCGCCACCCGCGTCCCAAGCGCCAGACCTAGGGGGGGAGAAAAACCCCAAACAGTAAGCTAAGCCCCCTCTTCCCCAAAGGCGCTGGACTACTCAACATGGAACCCTTCTGGAGAAGCACAGAATTGTCAAATTGGAAGGGACCGCGGGAGTCATCTATAATAATAATAATAATAATTATTATTATTATTATTATTATTATTATTATTATTATTATTATTATTTATTAATTGTACCCCACCCATCTGGCTGCGTCTCCCCAGCCACTCTGGGCGGCTTCCAACAAAGATTAAAAATACGTTAAAATGTCACACATTAAAAACTTCCCTGAACGGGGCTGCCTTCAGATGTCTTCTAAAAGTCAGGTAGTTGTTTATTTCCTTGATATCCGATGGGAGGGTGCCACCACCGAGAAGGCCCTCTGCCTGGTTCCCTGTAGCTTTGCTTCTCGCAGGGAGGGAACCGCCAGAAGGCCCTCGGAGCTGGACCTCAGTGTCCGGGCAGAACGATGGGGGTGGAGATGCTCCTTCAGGTTTCCTGGGCCAAGGCTGTTAGGGCTTTAATGGGCCCCCTGCAATGAAAGAATCTTTCGCCCCACGTGGGACTCGAACCCAAAACCCTGAGGTTAAGAGCCCCGCGCTCTACCGGCAGAGCTATGCTTGTTCTCCTAGCACAGGGCTCGACTTTGCGCAATGTGTTTTGTTTTGAAATACTCACAGGATATAGGTGATGACGCCGATGCTCCTGGAACGAAGGAAGGGAAAGGAAAAGGAGAAGATCAACGTACTAGCATCGAAATGTCCCAAAAGACACAGAAACATGGGGTGGGAGATCTGCAATCCCCCCCAAAAAATGCTGCTGGACTCAGCCCTAGACAATGTTAGGGATGACGGGCGCTGCAGCCTGACAACGCCTGGTGTTCCCCAGTTGACTCAACAGCCGCGCTGACGCACGGCTGAGGACAAGGAGTCAGAAATTAGCAATAAAGACAGAATCTGGCAGCAGAAAAGGTCAGCACCTGAGAGCATCTTTGGGTCCCAGCAGGGAGAAGCAAGAGAAGTGAAATTGGGGCAAAGGGGAATTTTTGATTTGAGTTTCTACTGTAATGCGGCTGCATTTTAATGTTGTATTTTAATCTTGTTTTGAAGTTGTATTTTAATCAGTTGTTTTTATACTACAATGTTATTACTACAGTGGTAACTCGGGTTAAGTACAGTGGTGCCTCGCAAGACGAAAAGAATCCGTTCCACGAGTCTCTTCGTCTTGCGGTTTTTTCGTCTTGCGAAGCAAGCCCATTAGCGGCTTAGCGGCTTAGCGCTATTAGCGGCTTAGTGGATCAGCTGTTAAGCGGCTTAGCGGCTTGGGAAAAAGGGGGGGGGAGGAAAAAAACCCTGCAGGAACTCGCAAGACATTTTTGTCTTGCGAAGCAAGCCCATAGGAAATTCGTTTTGCGAAGCACCTCCAAAACGGAAAACCTTTTCGTCTAGCGGGTTTTCCGTCTTGCGAGGCATTCGTCTTGCGGGGCACCACTGTACTTAATTCGTTCTGGAGGTCCATTCTTAACCCAAAACTGTTCTTAACCTGAAGCACCACTTTAGCTAATGGGGCCTCCCGCTGCCGCCGCACCGCCAGAGCACAATTTCTGTTCTCATCCTGAAGCAAAGTTCTGAACCCAAGGTACTATTTATGGGTTAGCGGAGTCTGTAACCTGAAGCATATGTAACCCGAGGTACCACTGTATTATTATTATTACCCCGCCCATCTGGCCGGGTTTCCCCAGCCACTCGGGGCGGCTCCCAACAGAATATTAAAAACACAATAAAACATAATACATTAAAAACTTCCCTAAACAGGGCTGCCTTCAGATGTCTTCTAAAAGTCAGATAGTTCTTTATTTCCTTGACATCTGATGGGAGGGCGTTCCACAGGGCAGGCGCCACCACCGAGAAGGCCCTCTGCCCGGTTCCCTGTAACCTCGCTTCTCGCAATGAGGGAACCGCCAGAAGGCCCTCGGCGCTGGACCTCAGTGTCCGGACAGAACGATGGGGGTGGAGACGCTCCTTCAGGTTTCCTGGGCCAAGGCTGTTTAGGGCTTTAAAGGTCAACACCAACACAACACAAACAAATAAGCCATGACAGATTAGAGAAGAGGAAACCTAGGAAAGGAACTTGGGCTGCCTCAGCAAAGGACCACGAGGAGGGGAAAGAGGATGATTTCAGAAGGTTTAGGGTCGTCTAACGAGGGAGAGGGGTTAAAAAGCACGTAGGAGAGGAATTGGGTAAGGGACAGTGTAGATAACGCAAAAACAGAGCTGTTGTCTCCTGTGATGAAAGGGGGAGAAAACACACAGAGCATTTTCCCCACCAGAGGTGCTCCGAAAGCTGGAGAGCATCTGGGATCAGAGGCAGGCATAGGGCTCTGCCCAGGAGATTTCCAGAAGTTCTCTTCCCAGGCCCAGAGTGCTACAGACCTTGGGAAGCGGTTCATAAACAAATAAAAATCCATGGAAACTGTGGAGTTGGAAGCCCCCCCCCCCAGGTTCATTTAATCTGCAGATGAAAAGTTCCTGACAGATGGCCACCCAGCCTCCGTTGAAAAACCTCCAGCGAAGGAGATTCCCACAGAAAGGTAAAGGTAAAGGGTCCCCTGACCATTAGGTCCAGTCGTGGCTGACTCTGGGGTTGCGGCGCTCATCTCGCTTTACTAGCCGAGGGAGCCGGCGTACAGCTTCCGGGTCATGTGGCCAGCAGGACTAAGCCGCTTCTGGCGAACCAGAGCAGCGCACGGAAACGCCGTTTACCTTCCCGCTGGAGTGGTACCTATTTATCTACTTGCACTTTGACGTGCTTTCGAACTGCTAGGTTGGCAGGAGCAGGGACCGAGCAATGGGAGCTCACCCCGTTGCGGGGATTCGAACCGCCAACCTTCTGATCGGCAAGTCCTAGGCTCTGTGGTTTAACCCACAGCGCCACCCGCGTCCCGTCACAGTGAAGTTACTGTGCATAAAATAATAATAATAATAATAATAATAATAATAATAATAATAATAATAATAAAAGCATTAAATTCCACAGGAAATCTAAGCCAAGCTTATTTCACTCACCACATATCTGCCTCCAGGCCCAAAGGTTCGTAGTTGACTATTTCTGGAGCTTTGGAGAGAGGGATGAGAAAAAAATAAGCATTTCTGGGACAGAGAACCACAACCAACCAGAATCTGTGCATCTGCCTCTCAAATACTTTGTGGGTCCGGATATGTGGAGATAGGTTAAGGTAAAGGACCACTGGGCGGTTAAGTCCAGTCAAAGGCGACTATGGGTTGCGGCGCTCATCTCGCTTTTCAGGCCGAGGGAGCCGGCGTTTGTCCACAGACAGCTTTCCAGGTCATGTGGCCAGCAGGACTAAACCGCTTCTGGTGCAACGGGACACCGTGACGGAAACCAGAGCGCACGGAAAGGCCGTTTACCTTCCCACCAGAGTGGTACCTATTTATCTACTTGCGCTGGTGTGCTTTCAAACTGCTAGGTTGGCAGGAGCAGGGACCGAGCAACGGGAGCTCACCCCGTCGCGGGGATTCGAACCGCCGACCTTCCGATCAGCAAGCCCAAGAGGCTCAGTGGTTTAGACCATCCTCTCCTCTCCAGGCTGAGGGTTTCTTCTGCTTGCTCGCCCCTCACCCATCAACCACCCCAGTCCGTCGCACTCCCCCAACATCCTGCTCTCACACACATACCAACAAACTCGGGAGTGCCAAAGATGTTTTTGAACTCGTTCCCTGCTTCAATCTTGTGGGCAATGCCAAAGTCAATCAGCTTGATGCGAGGGCTTGGGACGTTCTTATCAAGGAGCATGATGTTTTCAGGCTGGGAGGGGGAAAGGTTGAGAGAACATCTGAGCACCAAGTCTCTGCCACCAGAGAATCAGGGTAATGTTGTTTTTATTATTCACAAGCTGCTCATCTGACCGAGTTTGCCCCCTGCCACTCTGGGCGGCTTCCAACAGAATATTAAAAAACGAAACATCAAATAATAATAATCATAATAATTTATTATTTGTACCCTGCCCATCTGGCTGGGTTTCCCCAGCCACTCTGGGTGGCTTCCAACAAAGACCAAAAATACACTAAAATGTCACACATTAAAAACTTCCCCGAACAGGGCTGCCTTCAGATGTCTTCTGAATGTCAGGTCGTTGTTTATCTCCTTGACATCTGGTGGGAGGGCGTTCCACAGGGCGGGCGCCACCACCAAGAAGGCCCTCTGCCTGGTTCCCTGTAACTTTGCTTCTCGCAGGGAGGGAACCGCCAGAAGGCCCTCGGTGCTGGACCTCAGTGTCCGGGCAGAATGATGGGGGTGGAGACACTCCTTCAGGTATACTGGGCCGAGGCCGTTTAGGGCTTTAAAGGTCAGCACGAACACTTTGAATTGTGCTCAGAAATGTACTGGGAGCCAATGTAGGTCTTTCAAGACCGGTGTTATGTGGTCCCAGCGGCCACTCCCAGTCCCCAGTCTAGCTGCCGCATTCTGGATTAGTTGTAGTTTCCGGGTCACGTTCAAAGGGAGCCCCACATATGGTGTTAGTCGCCCTGAGCCCAGCTCTGGCCAGGGAGGGCGGGGTATAAATAAAATTTATTATTATTATTATATTGTGTGAGCAGGATCTCACCTTGAGGTCAAAGTGAGCGATGCGTTTGGAGTGGAGGTAGTGGACGCCGTCCAAAATCTGCTTAAGGAACTGTGTGGCCTCCTCCTCCGTCAGCGACTCCTTTTCAGCCAGGAAATCGAAGAGCTCTCCGCCGGAGACCAGCTCCAGGATCAACACCACGTCCGTCTTGTTCTCGAAGATGTCGTGCAGCGTGATGATGTTGGGGTGCTGTATCTCGCGCAGGATGTCGACCTCCCGCTCGATCTCCTCGCGGCTCACCCCGCGGCGGCTGGAGGACAAGCGGCGCTTCTTGATGAACTTGGCCGCGTATTCCAGGCCGCTCTTCTTCTCACGGCACTTGCGCACGATCGCAAACTGGCCGCTGAGAGGGAGAGAAAGGGACGGAAAACGTTCACTTGCAGTCATACCTCGGGTTACAGACGCTTCAGGTTGTGTTTTTGGGGTTGCGGACACCGAAACCCGGAAGTACGGGTTACGTCCGGGTTTCGGCGGTCGCGCATGCGCAGAAGCGCCAAATCGCACTTTGCGTATGCACAGAAGCGCCAAATAGCAACCCACGCGGGTTGCGAAAGCTGTGGGTTGCGAACGTGCATCCCACACGGATCACGTTCGCAACCCGAGCGTCCACTGTATTTTATTTTTATTTTAAATTTTGCTTATGCCGTTCATTTTTATACATTTTTTATACATTTCACTAATTTTACAGTCCTTTTGACAAATTTGTTTCACAAATTCTGGAGTCTTTCCACAGAAGGAAAGGCCTACGGAAGAAGAAAAACCTCTTTGCGCTCTGTTTTAATAAAGCCGCAGGCACGGGACATGGAAATGCAGCTATTTACATTTTTCAAAGGTGAGATCACACAGCAAGCTAGCTTTCCATATACGGTTGCAGTTGCAAAAAGAAAAGGACAAGGAAGCAGAAGAAAAGCGACTCGACCTGTTTTTATTTCTGCTGGCCATCAGCAAAAATTCATTCGGACGGAGAGCAATGAGGCTGGCGGGGGGCGGGGGGGAGAGAACAAACAGATTTTGCACACAAGGTTTTTTTTAAAGGAAAAATAAGTGGACTGGCTTTGTTTCTCAGTTCACAGTTCACCATCATGTCCAAAAGGGGGCGGGGGGTTGATTTAATTGGGATCTTAAATAGGGCTGCCATATTCCCAAAAGTGAAAATCTGGACAAAGTTGCGGGGGTTTTTTTGGGGGGGGGGATGACGACAACGAAATTGTTGAGCCTTTTTTGGGGGAACATATCCCAAATAAAATTTAAGATTGGGGGGGGTTATAAGCATTTTTTATTTCTTGGAGGATTTTTTAAAAAAAATTCTTGTCAATAGAAATTTGCAGCCAGAAAAATTTTATTATCATTTTGTGAGATTCTCGTGACTTCCGCTAACATGGGTCCTTATTACAATAATTAAGACTACGTATCAATACGTTCTCCGCTATTTTGATTTGTCCAAATGGTCCATAACCTTCGTTACTTTACAAGTGATTCTTATACTCCAGCTAAAGTTTTGATTTGCTTACAATGGTCTCCTATTTAAATTATAAAATTTTCCCGTTCGTTTTAAAAGTCCTTGTCTTCTTAGTTAGGGGTTTGTTTGTTTTTTACAGTTATATAAAAAAAAGACTGATTTGGTAATACTTAGAGATAAAAATTGGTAATACTCTCAGAAATACGTAGACTGATAACTATGAAGTGATTGTGAGGTTTAGTAAGTTAACTGTTTATATTTGGACAACTTTTCTGCTGTGCTCTATCGGAAGGAGAAAAATAATCATAACAATTTAAACAATTTATTTTAACTAAAACAATAACGTTATAGCATATGTATCCATGTTTGTTAACTGATGTGGTTAAACAATTAAAAAAAATAAACTTAGACTGAGTTTTAGCACACATGAAAAACAAATCCTTATTTCCTGATGGACTATAAGGTAACTTAAATAGAAAACCACCTTTAGATAGATTTTCCCCCCAAAACCATTTTATTTTAAAAATCCAATTTATTTTTTTAAAGAAAATTGATTTAAATAAAAGAAATCCAATTTAACTTTAAAAAATCCAATTTAAATTTACGTCCACAAAAACAAGCATACAATGAGGCTGCCCTACGGCTACCAAAGAGGTGACGGTGTTGCAAAGGTCTGGGGCCGAATCCTGGATATATATCGTCAGATCAGGGTGAGGCCGCAATATTGGGCAAGGATCTCGCGTCACCCCCTGAAACCAAAGTTGCGACACCCGTGGATTCTGAATTCGGGACATGGGCGAGATCCTTGCAACACCCTCACTTCCCTTTCCCAGGCTTCGGGGGGGGGGACTGCCTCAAATCTGCTGGCCAGACTGGAATTACTCAAGACAGGAAACGTCCCTGAAATAATTTGTGTGGCTGACGCACAAGTCAAGAATGCAGAAACGCTGCAAGCGATGCTCCGGGGCGATCTGAAATTCTAGTGTGAAGTCAGAACCCGTTTGTGTGAGGCCAGCACACAGGATGTAAACACAAAAAAATAGCCAAAAAATCGAACCAGGGTCTGAAGTTTTAAGCCCTAGAATGGCAACAGCCTCCTCTATTCTCCACAATTTTTATTATCTTTTATGTTTTACCTTTTAGAATATTCATTTAAAGACCCTTAAGATATCAACGGGACGCGGGTGGCGCTGTGGGTTAAACCACAGGAGCCTAGGGCTTGCCGATCGGAAGGTCAGCAGCTCGAATCCCCGCGACGGGGTGAGTTCCCATTGCTCGGTCCCTGCTCCTGCCAACCTAGCAGTTCGAAAGCGCACCAGCGCAAGTAGATAAATAGGTACCACTCCGGCGGGAAGGTAAACGGCGTTTCCGTGCGCTGCTCTGGTTCACCAGAAGCGGCTTAGTCATGCTGGCCACATGACCCGAAGCTGTACACCAGCTCCCTCGGCCATTAAAGCGAAATTAGCGCCGCAACCCTCAGAGTCGGCCACGACTGGATCTACTGGTCAGGAGTCCCTTTACCTTTACCTTTAAGATAACAACAACTATCCCTTCTCTTTCCATGGTTCACTTTGCATAACATAAATCCCTGCGTATTTTACAAAAGCTATGCCATTCCGTATTCCATTATTGCGTCCATCAAAATTGATTTACACTTTTGAATTTATGTTAGTGGTGCCAATGTTTTCAAATAAACACAATTTCCCCCCATATATTCAATAAACGCTTTCCAATCTTCTCTAAACGTATGTTCTTCTTGTTCTCTCACTCTATATCAGGGGTTAGCAAACTATTTCAGCAGGGGGCCAGTCCACTGTCCCTCAGACCTTGTGGGGGCCCAGACTATATTAAAGAAATGAACGAATTTCTGTGCCCCACAAATTAAACCAGAGTTGCATTTTGAATACAAGCACCCATTCTACTCATGTAAAAAACACCAGGCAGGCCCCACTGATAACCCAGAGATGCATTTTAAATAAAAGCACATATTCTACTCATATCAAAACATGCTGATTCCTGGACTGTCCATGTGCCAGATTGAGAAGGCGATTGGGCCGCATCCGGCCCCCGGGCCTTAGTTTTTCTACCCATGTTCTATATATTAAGTCTGCAAGCTGTGCATATTCTGTCAGCTTAAATTGCATTCCTCTTTAGTTGGGACCTCGCTCGTTTTCCATTTTGGGGCTAACAAAACACGGGCTGCAGTAGTAGCATACATAAATAACCTTTTTTGACACCTGGGAATTTCCTTCTGATTTATCCCCAACGAAAAGGACTCTGGTGTTGTTGTATTTTTGACAAAGTACTTTTAAACATTTTTTTTCCAATTTATTACGAATTATTTCCCAATACTCTTTTACAAGCCAGTCCGTTCTGTTACGGCGTCCCTGAGCTCTTTGCAAAAAGGCACTTTGAACGAACCTGAACCAACAAAAGCTGCAGGCTGTTTATCAATGACGCTTCGCTGAGGTTTCCAAGGGAGAAGTTGGAATTGTCCATGGAAGTTTCGCGATATCATCACAAATTGATCAGCAATAACTTTAAAATAACTTACACCAGCGCACACACAAACAAACACACCCTGCTTCCCATAAATTCACCATTGGGGAACACACAGAATCTTGGAGATTTCTTGCCTTTTATTGATGGCAGTTGTCAACACTGAGGTCCAGCTCCGAGGGCCTTCTGGCGGTTCCCTCGCTGCGAGAAACCAAGTTACAGGGAACCAGGCAGAGGGCCTTCTTGGTGTTGGCACCCGCCCTATGGAACGCCCTCCCACCAGATGCCAAATAGAAAAATAACTACCAAACTTTTAGAAGACATCTGAAGGCAGCCCTGCTTAGGGAAGCTCTTAATGTTTGATGCATTACTGTATTTTAATATTTTGTTGGAAGCTGCCCAGAGCGGCTGGGGAAGCCCAGCCAGATGGGTGGGGTATAAACAATAAATTATTATTATATTATTATTATTAACTAGGCTGCTCCTCCCTCGTTCCGCATTCCTGCCTAATTACCTCCTCCTGTCTCTCCATGCTCTCCCCCTCTGTCAGCAATGGGATGCAGCTGACACTTTATTATTATTATTATTAATTTATTATTTCTCTCTCACAAACACACAAAACATGCAAGCAGACGCACAACAAAGTGCTCGGCCAGCTCACCTGCCCAGTTCTTCCTCCATCTCGTAGTAGTCCTCCACATTTTCTTGGCGGAAGGTGGACATGCCTTCCTCCGCCCCGCCCCCCGGGGAAAAGCGGCCGTCACCAAATTTCCAGACTGCCTGGCGCTGGATCAATGCTAAAGAAAGAGGAAGGATAAAGATCAGTCAAATGTTCCTGCAACGGAGGAAAGGAAAGTGACTGGGAGTGACCGCCGAGACTACATAACACCGGTCCTGAAAGATCTTCATCAGCTCCCAGGACGTTTCCGAGCACAATTCAAAGTGTTGGTGCTGATCTTGAAAGCCCTAAATGGCCCAGTAGACCTGAAGGAGCGTCTCCACCCCCATCATTCTGCCCAGACGCTGAGGTCCAGCGCTGAGGGCCTTCTGGCGGTTCCCTCCCTGCGAGAAGTGAGGTTACAGGGAACCAGACAGAGGGCCTTCTCGGTGGTGGCACCCGCCCTGTGGAACGCCCTCCCATCAGATGTCAAGGAAATAAACAACTATTTTACTTTTAAAAGACAACTGAAGGCAGCCCTCTTTAGGGAAGCTTTTAATATTTGTTGAATGGTTGTATTTTAAGATTCTGCTCAAAGCCGCCCAGGGAAGTTTTTAATGTCTGTTGCTGTCTTGTTTTTAATATTTGGTTGGAAGCCGCCCAAAGTGGCTGGGGAAACCCAGTCAGATGGGCGGGGTATAAATAATAAATTATTATTATTATTATTATTAAAGGAACAACCACTGTAAAACCACACATTATTATTATTATTATTATTATTATTATTATTTCCTGCCTTTTTCCGTGACAGGAACTCAAGGGGGCTTCCTTCGGAGACTCCTTTCTCGCCTGCTGCCCCCCCCATCCCTAGAGATCCCAGCCATAAACTGCAGCCTCCACCCCCCAAAAGAATCCCAGCCCCATTCACAAACACAGCAGTTGCCTCCCAGACCCACAGACCCCTCTGCACCCTATCTTTCCAAAAGTGGCGGCCCTGCACTTAACCCCATATCAAAAGCAGCCCCACGACTTAACCCCTTCCCTCCCATCAAAAGCATCACGACTTAACCCCTTCCCTCCCATCAAAAGCAGCCCCACAACATCAAAAGCAGCACCCCCCACGACTTAACCCCTTCCCTCCCATCAAATGCAGCCCAACCTCAAAACGTAACCCCTTCCCTCCCATCAAGTGCCCCCACGACTTAACGTCAAAAGCACCCCCATGACTTAACCCCTTCCCTCCTGGCTCCAACCACCACCACCACCCTCCCGGCAGCCGTTTCTTAGAACCACAGAAGTGCAGAGCTGGAAGGGACCCCCCAGGGTCATCTAGTCCAGCCCCACATTTCCTCCCCACCCACCCCTAAGGTGGGGGGGGGGAACCCCAACCCTATATTTCTGGAAACTCCCCCCCTCCTCCTTCCCTACCTCCCTAACAAAGCCTTTTCCCACGAGCAACCCCTACCTCCCTCCAGCCTCAAACCCCTCGCGTCTCAGAGCCCCACATATCTGCCCCCGCCCCCTTTTCAATAGATCTAGGGCCCCCCAAACAAAAGCACCTCTTTCGCGATTTCCACTGCCAAACCCCCCATTTAATGGCATCAAAAAGCAAAATATCCTCCTGCAAAAGAGCGCAGCCTCCCCCCCCAACTCCCCCCCACACACACCCCATAGCCCACCTTAGGAGGGCGAGAGCGCGCCCGGGAGGCGAGGAAGGCGCGTCCCCGAGAGAGACAGCGAGAGACAAGGCGCCGCGTCCGCCCGCATTCCAACACTGGCCGCAGCGGCTCTCCCCATTGGCTAAAGCGCGGAGGTGACGTCACAGTCCCGGGCTCCGGCGCCTCCCCCGCATCCCCGGGCAGGCGGTGACGTCATTCATTCAGCCAGCAAGGCGGCCGGGCCGGCCTTTCAAAGGCGCAGCAGCAGCAAACTCCTTGCAGATTTGGCTTTTTTGCTGCATGCAAGCTCTGAAAGAAATGGGAGTGCCATTCTTCAGTCTCATCAGTCTCCTGAGAAATCTCTATGTGGGACAAGAAGCTACAGTTAGAACTGGATATGGAACAACTGATGGGTTCAAAATTGGGAAAGGAGTACGGCAAGGCTGTATATCGTCTCCCTGGTTATTTAACTTTTAAATAAAGGGAGGTTTAGGGTCAGTTTCCCTTATCCTTCCCAGGTTAGTAAGCCCCATCTGGCCATAGTCAAATGTCATAGTCAAAGGACAAATGTCAATTTCCCATTTTTTCCCAATCACAAATTCAGTTCCATGTTTGATTTTCAGGGTGGTGGTAGGGCGTTTGCTTATTTCTTAAAAGTTCTAACCCAAAACCCGCATTTTCGTATGCAATTTTGCTCATAGACACGTTTTGCAAGCAATTTCCTGTAATATACTGCAATGCAGTTTTCTGCCATTCGTTTCAATGTCCACTTTAGCCTAATTTAGACATTTCGGCATACGCTGGGCTGGATTTGCTAAATTCAGAGAAGTGTGACTTTCAAAGGATAGCCATTGTTTTGGTTTGCCTATTGTTTCAGGAAACATGAAACAAGTCCACTTATTTATTCAGTGAAGTGTAAAAAGGTAAAGGGACCCCTGACCATTAGGTCCAGTCGTGACCGACTCTGGGGTTGCGGCGCTCATCTCGCTTTATTGGCCGAGGGAGCCGGCGTACAGCTTCCGGGTCATGTGGCCAGCAGGACTAAGCCGCTTCTCGCGAACCAGAGCAGCGCACGGAAACGCCGTTTACCTTCCTGCCGGAGCGATACCTATTTATCTACTTGCACTTAGTGCTTTCGAACTGCTAGGTTGGCAGGAGCAGGGACCGAGCAACAGGAGCTCACCCCGTCGCGGGGATTCGAACCGCCGACCTTTCTGATCGGCAAGTCCTAGGCTCTGTGGTTTAACCCACAGCGCCACCTGCGTCAGTGAAGTGTATATACCTCTTAATTATCGCAAAGAGTGGCTGGGGAAACCCAGCCAGATGGGCGGGGTGCAAATAATAAATTATTATCTGGAAACTGCAACAAGTCTCTGCTCCATTCCAAGAAGGCAGGACGCAGACAGCCCACCGCCCTGCGATGAGGGGCGCCCACTCCTGCTTACCTCCTTCATGGCCCACTGGAAGCCTGCCACAACGCTGTCCTTGATCTCGTTGAGGTACTGCACCCACTTGGTGATGTCCGTCAGGATGTTGGGGCCAGTGCCGTCCGGGCCGAAGCACCAGATCTTGCGGGCCTCGGCGACGTCCCACTCGTACTTCTTGGCCAGGTAACGGGCCCGTGTCTTCAGCTCCTGGCGGGCGGAGACGTCGCCTTTGTCGATGTCCTCGGCCAGGCCGTCGGAGAAGGGGCGGGCTTTCATGTACAGGCGGTTGCATACACAACGTGGCCTGTGGGAGAAGAAGACTCGCTTTAGCCCAGGTCTGTCCTCCTTGCCCAAACCTTGAGCACTGCATTCCTTATCAGCTATAGCTCCGCCTTATCCATTTCTGTACTGCTTCCATGTGATTTTGATACCGGCTCTCATAGGAACGCCTTGGTTTTAAGTATGAGAGTTCGTCTGGAAGTCTGGAGCAGGGTTTTCTCCCTGCTCTGTGCAAATTCTCCCTTCTTCCTCTTACCTGCATTATTTGCGGGGAGGGGGCTTCGGCAGCAGCCCCAGCGGTGCACCAGCCATACCCTGCAAGAAAGAAGGAATACCTGAATGTGTGAATGGTCTGTCACTGACCAAACGACCAGGGACGGGGCTTCAAGAAGCCGTTGCAGGAAGTCGCGTCCCAGGTGAGCAGAGGGCTCTTGGGTTCGAATCCTGTTTCTGGCGAGGGGCGTACCGATGGGGGGCAGGGGGCGGGCTGCCCCAGGTGCTATCCTGAAGGGGGGTGACATTCCGACGCGCCCCCTGCCCGCGCCCCCCAAACCCGCAAATCGCAAGCGGCAAAGCATAGAGCGGCAAAGCAATGAAATCCCCCTGTCTGCTTACCTGTGAGGCGAGAGGCCGTTGTCTCGGCTCCAGGCCCTCCTGGGACGCGGCGGCTGCCAAGCGGAACCTTCTCCTTGCTGCAAAAGAAAGGGAGACATCAGCCGGAGCCTGGCTCCCAGCCACGCGAGCCCCAGTCTGGGGCAGGAGGGTGGGGACCTGGGAAGGGGGCATTTCATCCTACCTGATCTTATCAACTGCCCCACCCTGAATTCCTCCATGCGGGAGTCTGTGCTCCTCCCCGACCGGTCCGGCACAGAGGCAGCAGCCAAAGTCTCCCCCGGCTCCGGAATCACCCTTGAGGTGTTCCTAATGGGGGGAAACCGTGGCTGCTGCTTCTGTGCCACGTACGGCCAGGAAGGAGCCATCCCCGCACGGAGGACGGCGGGAGGGTGAGGCAGGCAAGGATCGGGAACCGCCGGGAACCGCCACGATGGTTTGTCGATGTTCGTCCCGGGAGCAGGCGCTGGAGCCTCGTTCTTGCAGGCCTCCTGCCTAAGAAAGAAACAAGCTCTGTTAATCTGATTCCTTGGAGGAGTTCCAGATAAATATATAGTAAAAGGTAAAGGTACCCCTGCCCGTACGGGCCAGTCTTGCCAGACTCTAGGGTTGTGCGCTCATCTCACTCTATAGGCTGGGAGCCAGCGCTGTCCGAAGACACTTCCGGGTCACATGGCCAGCGTGACAAGCTGCATCTGGCGAGCCAGAGCCGCACACGGAAACGCCGTTTACCTTCCCGCTGGGTAAGCGGTCCCTATTTATCTACTTGCACCCAGAGGTGCTTTTGAACTGCTAGGTTGGCAGGCGCTGGGACCGAGCAATGGGAGCTCACCCCGCTGCGGGGATTCGAACCGCCCACCATGCGATCGGCAAGCCCTAGGCGCTGAGGCTTTTACCCACAGCGCCACCCGCGTCCCCAGATAAATATATAGATGATAATATTTCTTATTATCATCTATATATTTAGACATATTTATGAGCCAATTTTGTGCCCCACCCCTCACCTGCGCCCCTGGTGGGGGCCCACCTCACCACCCCCTGGCTAGGGCCCTGCCTGGACCGCAGAGAAACCCTCTCCATAAAACTATAGGGATCTCTAAATCAGGTTTCCTCCTCCACCCCCAGGATCCCTGGGAAACACTTCCCCTGCCACACAAGGTCACAACATACCTCTGGATTTTCCCGGGTTTTCCTTCACCGCTGGGCTGCTGCTGCCTCCCGAAACCATGGCCCTGCAAAGGGAGAAGGACATTGTACTCTCTAGGGGGGCAGAACAAGCACCCCTGCCAGGCTGCCCCACGTCACCACAGGCTGCCAGCCTGCTCCTGCCTGGGCGCCTGACCCCCGGCTTGGAAGGAGGGGAGCGAGGGGCTGCGGCGAGACCGGCCTGCAACCCCCCAACCCAGCCCTGTTTCACTCAGGTCAGCGCCATGACCTCCCTGCACATGTGGGGAATGGATTCCCCATTGAATTAACCTACCACAATCTCCAGAGGTTGTGCTCCTACAGCCTCCTTCATGTTCGGGCGCCTCAGGAGTTTCTTGTGTCCTAGGAGACAGAAAGGAAAATAAAAAACATAGGAAGAGGTTACAGGTGGGAAGCCTTACAACACCTTATAGAAATGACACCAAAGAAGGATGTTCTTCTCATTATAGGGGATTGGAATGCTAAAGTAGGGAGTCAAGAGATAAAAGGAACAACTGGCAAGTTTGGCCTTGGAGTTCAAAACGAAGCAGGGCAAAGGCTAATAGAGTTCTGCCGAGAGAACAAGCTGGTCATCACAAACACTCTTTTCCAACAACACAAGATGAAACTCTACACATGGACATCACCAGATGGGCAGCATCGAAATCAGATTGATTATATTCTCTGCAGCCAAAGATGGAGAAGCTCTATACAGTCAGCAAAAGCAAGACCTGGAGCTGACTGTGGCTCAGACCATCGGCTTCTTATAGCAAAATTCAAGCTTTAACTGAAGAAAGTAGGAAAAATCACTGAGCCGGTAAGATACAATCTAAATCAAATCCCTTATGAATACACAGTGGAAGGGAGGAACAGGGTTAAGGATTTAGATTTGGTGGACAGAGTGCCTGAAGAACTATGGATGGAGGCTTGTAACATTATACAGGAGGCAGCAACGAAAACCATCCCAATGAAAAGGAAATGCAAGAAAGCAAAGTGGCTGTCCAACGAGGCCTTACAAATAGCGGGGGAGAGAAGACAAGCAAAATGCGAGGGAGATAGTGAAAGATACAGGAAATTGAATGCAGATTTCCAAAAAATAGCAAGGAGAGACAAGAAGGCCTTCTTAAACGAGCAATGCAAAGAAATAGAGGAAAACAATAGAATGGGGAAAACCAGAGATCTGTTCAAGAAAATTGGAGATATGAAAGGAACATTTCGTACAAAGATTACCATAATAAAAGACAAAAGTGGAAAGGACCTAACAGAAGCAGAAGACATCAAGAAGAGGTGGCAAGAATACACAGAGGAATTATACCAGAAAGATATGGATGTCTCGTACACCCCAGGTAGTGTGGTTGCTGACCTTGAGCCAGACATCCTGGAGAGTGAAGTCAAATGGGCCTTAGAAAGCACTGCTAATAACAAGGCCAGTGGAAGTGATGATATTCCAGCTGAACTATTTAAAATTTTAAACGATGATGCTGTTAAGGTGCTACACTCAATATGCCAGCAAGTTTGGAAAACTCAGCAGTGGCCAGAGGATTGGAGAAGATCAGTCTACATCCCAATCCCAAAGAAGGGAAGTGCCAAAGAATGCTCCAAATACCGCACAATTGCACTCATTTCACACGCTAGCAAGGTTATGCTTAAAATTCTACAAGGCAGGCTTAAGCAGTATGTGGATCGAGAACGAAAACCATCCCAATCAAAAGAAAATACAAGAAGGGGGAGAAATGGAGGCAGTGAGATATTTTACTTTCTTGGCCTCCATGACCACTGCAGATGGTGACAGCAGTCACAAAATTAAAAGACGCCTGCTTCTTGAGAGAAAAGTAATGACAAACCTGGACAGCATCTTAAAAAGCAGAGACATCACCTTGCCGACAAAGGTCCGTATAGTTAAAGCTATGGTTTTCCCAGCAGTGATGTATGGAAGTGAGAGCTGGACCATAAAGAAGGCTGATCGCCGAAGAATGGGTGCTTTTGAATTCTGGTGCTGGAAGAGGCTCTTGAGAGTCCCATGGACTGCAAGAAGATCAAACCTATCCATTCTGAAGGAAATCAGCCCTGAGTGGTCACTGGAAGGACAGATCCTGAAGCTGAGGCTCCAAGACTTTGGCCACCTCATGAGAAGAGAAGACTCCCTGGAAAAGACCCTGATGTTGGGGAAAATGGAGGGCACAAGGAGAAGGGGACGGAAGAGGACGAGATGGTTGGACACTGTTCTCAAAGCTACCAGCATGAGTTTGACCAAACCGTGGGAGGCAGTGGAAGACAGGAGTGCCAGGCGTGCTCTGGTCCAGGGGGTCACAAAGAGTTGGACACGACTAAACAACAACAAGTTGCTTTGGGAGACGATAATCAAGCATAGCCCAGTTCTGTGAAGCTTGGAGGAGGGGTGTGTGAGGCACCTGGGCTTTAGCAGCACAGTGGTGGCTCGGGTTAAGAACTTAATTCGTTCTGGAGGTCCGTTCTTAACCTGAAACTGTTCTTAACCTGAGGTACCACTTTTGCTAATGGGGCCTTCCGCTGCCGCCGCACCGCCAGAGCACGATTTCTGTCCTCATCCTGAAGCAAAGTTCTTAACCTGAGGTACAGTTTCTGTAGAAGCCAAGCCCTGGCTCCATGGCTCACCTGAAGCAAGGGAATCATCCTGCTTCCAGGTTTGTAGAGAGCCCCTTCTTGCTACGTTAAACGGCCACATTCTCAAAGAAATGGTGGCTGTGTCCAGCTCGGCTCCAGACCCCCCCCCTCGTGCCACCTTCTAGAACCCACCGGTCTCAACAGACTCTCACCTGCCCCCCCCTTCAAACTACCTTTCAAAGCCTCCTTCCATCTTCTGTCTCCGCCAGAATTCCACTCTCTCTCTCTCTTCCCCCTCCCTCCCTGCTTTGGAATTGTAAAATAATAATAATAATAATAATAATAATAATAATAATAATAATAATAATTTATTATTTATACCCCGCCCATCTGGCTGAGTTTCCCCAGCCACTCTGGGCGGCTCCCAATCAGTGTTAAAAACAGTACAGCGTTACATATTAAAAACTTCCCTTAAGATCCCTTCTGAATGTCAGGTAATTATTTATCTCTTTGACATCTGGTGGCAGGGCGTTCCACAGGGCGGGCGCCACTACCGAGAAGGCCCTCTGTCTGGTTCCCTGTAGCCTCACTTCTCGCAATGAGGGAACCGCCAGAAGGCCCTCGGCGCTGGATCTCAGTGTCCAGTGTAATAGCATCATAATACTATTGCCACACATCTCCTCTAGGCCTCCTACCTTGAGAATCCATCTTCTCTACAGGTCTCTCACGGTCATCTGACAGGCACCCCCCTTGCAGGGCATTATAAGGCTTGCTTGCAAAGCAGCACTTTGTGACATAGGCTGGCAAACAGGGGCCAGGCTGCTGGGTTGTCTGGTAGCTGAATGAAGAAAAATAAAACTAGGGGGGTCAATGTGTGCTGGGATGAGGCCCCCGTGGGTCAGGCCAGAGGGGGCTGTTGGGGGGGTGTGGTTGTGCCTTCCTTTCTTCTGCATCTTGTTCCCCCGCCCATTCCTTCTGCTGCTCGAAAGAATCATAGCATGGCAGAGTTGGAAGGGGTGCCAAGGGGCATCTAGTTCAACCCCCGGCGCTGCAAGGATCCTGCCCACAGCCAGCGCCCGGCTGGGGTCCACACTCCCACCACCTTCTTACCAACCGGATGCACAGACCCCTTGCCATTCTGCATGGGGTGGGGAAAGGGGAGAGGGAGATGTTTTGCTCCCTGTCCCTCCGGACATGGATATGAGAGCCCTGTCAATATCTCAAGGGCGTCCCAGGGAGGAAGCTTGTCTTCTCCTGCTCCAGAGGCCCTCAGGACCTGAAGCCCTGGCTTCAAGCGACCAGAAAGGAGAGTCCGACTCCAGGAAGAACTTTCTGACAGCAAGAGCTGTTTGACAGCGGGAGGAAATCCCTCGGAAGGCGGTAGACCCCCCCTTCCTTGGAGGTTTTCAGCAGAGCTTGGAACGGCCATCTGCCATGGGTTCTTGAGCTGAGATTCCTGCATTGCAGGGGGTTGGACTAGAGCGTGTTACTTCCAGGTTTCGACGCTCGTGCATACGCCAACTCTCAAAATGATGTCACGCGCATGCGCAGAAAGGCGAAAAGCGACGCGTGTGTGTGTGCGCAGATGTGCCGTCGCTAGTTACGTTCGCTTCTGGATGCGAACGGGGCTCCGGAACGGATCCCGTTCGCATCCCGAGGTAGCACTGTACTGTAGCATACCCGTATTTTTCGCTCTATAAGACGCACCAGACCACAAGACGCACCTAGTTTTTGGAGGAGGAAAGCAAGAAAAAAAATATTCTGAATCTCAGAAGCCAGAACAGAAAGAGCGATCGCTGTGCAGCGAAAGCAGCAATCCCTCTTGCTGTTCTGGCTTCTGGGATAGCTGCGCAGCCTGCATTCGCTCCATAAGACGCACACACATTTCCCCTTACATTTTAGGAGGGAAAAAGTGAGTCTTATAGAGCAAAAATACGGTATATTCAACACAAAAAACAGCTGCAATTTGTTTTTGACAAAGGACAGCTGGACATATAAAGGGCCCCATTACCTTCAGTAGCTTCGGGCCTCATCATTCCTAAATCCGGCCCTGCGTCAGATGTTTGGCTTCCAAAGAACGTTTGCAAACCAGAACACTCATTCCGGGGTTGCAGTATTTGGGGACCGGAATGCAAGGCGTTTGAGATCCGAGGTATAACTGTATGTTCTTTTAAATATATTTTTTTCTCTGTGAAAAAGACCCTGATGTTGGGAAAGATGGAGGGTGCAAGGAGAAGGGGACGACAGAGGACGAGATGGTGGGACAGTGTTCTCGAAGCTACCAGCATGAGTTTGACCAAACTGCGGGAGGCAGTGGAAGACAGGAGTGCCTGGCGTGCTCTGGTCCATGGGTCACAAAGAGTCGGACATGACTAAACAAAAACAAGTCACCATGTTCCCTAAAGCGGTGGGGATCAGCTTGTCCAGACCTTACAACCAACCTCTGACTTCCCAAGCTGCAACATGGGACAGACGTCCGCATTTCTGCTTACAGTTTACACTTAAAAGTAGAGGGGGAGGAAAGCGGGGGGGGGGGAATTCACTGGCATCCCTTGGGTTTCAGACAGTACATGGGTAAAGGTATTTTAATTTCACCATCTGCAGTGATCATGGAGCCCAAGAAAGTAAAATCTCTCACTTCCTCCATTTCTTCCCCTTCTATTTGCCAGGAGCTGATGGGACCAGTGGCCATGATCTTAGTTTTTTGGATGCTGAGCTTCTGACCATATTTTGCGCTCTCCTCTTTCACCCTCATTTAGAGGTTCTTTAATGGTGACTTTATGGGACAATAAACTCCATCACCCTTGCCAACAAAGGTCCTTATAGTTCAAGCTATGGTTTTCCCAGTAGTGATGTATGGAAGTGAGAGCTGGACCATAAAGAAGGCTGATGGCCAAAGAATGGATGCTTTTGAATTCTGGTGCTGGAGGAGACTCTGGAGAGTCCCATGGACTGCAAGAAGATCAAACCTCTCCATTCTGAAGGAAATCAGCCCTGAGTGCTCACTGGAAGGACAGATCCTGAAGCTGAGGCTCCAGTACTTTGGCCACCTCATGAGAAGAGAAGACTCCCTGGAAAAGACCCTGATGTTGGGAAAGATGGAGGGCGCAAGAAGGGGACGACAGAGGACGAGATGGTTGGACAGTGTTCTCGAAGCGACAAGCATGAGTTTGACCAAACTGCGGGAGGCAGTGGAAGACAGGAGTGCCTGGCGTGCTCTGGTCCAGGGGGTCACGAAGAGGCGAACACGACTAAACGACTAAACGACAACAAACTTCAACAGCTCCTAATCCTTGGGCATGCCACGTGTGGATCAGAAAGTCAGCGGTTCAAATCCCTGCGACGGGGTGAGCTCCCGTTGCTCAGTCCCTGCTCCTGCCAACCTAGCAGTTTGAAAGCACGTCAAAGTGCAAGTAGATAAATAGGTACCGCTCAAGCGGGAAGGTAAATGGCGTTTCCGTGCGCTGTTCTGGTTTGCCAGAAGCGGCTTAGTCCTGCTGGCCACGTGACCTGGAAGCTGTACGCCGGCTCCCTTGGCCGATAAAGCGAGATGAGCGCCGCAAGCCCAGAGTCGGCCACGACTGAACCTAATGGTAAGGGGTCCCTTTACCTTTACTTTTTACCAGCAGGCCAGACTGTGTGACCTCAATGCTTGTAGATATCAGGCTGTCTCAAAAGACAATGGAGTGCACCTCCAGGGGTGAAATCAAACCACTGTGTTAGCAAGACTCAAGTAACAACCCCAGGGCGTAAGCCTGGGCAGTGAATATGGGGGTCCTGCACTGCCCAGATGACAAAGACTCGCTGATGGGGTCCAAAGGAAGGCAGAGCAAGACACCTGGATGCAGGTGTTGCCAGTGTAAAGCACCACCCAACCATTTTAGGGAATCCATTTAGGATTTGGGCAGTTTACTCCTTAACCCTTCCTTCTCCCCAAAGGTATCTTGGCAAGGCAGGGGAGGTTTAGGATCAGTTTCCCTTCTCCTTCCCAGGTGAGTAAGCCCCATCTGGCCATACCATGATTAGTGATTAAGACAAATGACAATTTGATGGAAGAAATTTAAAGAATATTTAACTAAATATTGTGATATAAGGGAATTAGAAAATTCTTGGAAGTAACCAATAGGCTTAGGGGCAGAATAAGAATAGGTGGTAGTAAATATTAAGGATTTGAATATTAATAAAAGAGATGAGGATAGTAAATGAAATGAGTGAATATTATTAGAAATATGAATTTGGAGAACTACTATACAGGGGTTATAATGAAATTCAGTTAGAGGGGATTTGAGGAAGTCAGGTATCAATGTAACGAGAATTAGAGATTTGAAGTAAGAATTCTGTTTTGTGTTTTTCTTTTCTTGTTGTGTGTTGTAATATTTTCTTTTTTTCTGTGATATGTGGAAACCAATAAAAAATGGCAATTTGTTTCCCATTTTTCCCAATCACACATTCAGTTGCACATTTGTTTTTCGGGGTGGGGCGTTTGCTTGTTTGTTAAAAGTTCTAATGAAAATTTCTCCCAATATCCAGATTTTCATATGCAATTTTGCTCATATAACACATTATGCAAGCAATTTCCTGTAATATACAGTAATGCAGTTTTCTGCCACTCGTTTCAATGTTCCCTTTAGCCTAATTTAGACATTATGGCATATGTTGGGCTGGATTTGCTAATTCAGAGAAGTGTGACTTTCAAAGGCTAGCCATTGTTTTGGTTGGCCTATTGTTTCAGGAAACATGAAACAAGTCCACTTAATTCAGTGAAGTGTGTATACCTCTTAATTATCACAAATATATCATTCAAGGCCTTTGTTCATGTCTGTGAGAGTCCCCAGGCAACCTATTTCGATTGCTTGCAAACAGGTTAGATTACATCTATTCCTCATGCAGCCTGCTGTTTGCAAGGGAAGAGGGGGTGGTTACAAGTTAATGAGCACTCATCCTGATGTGATTGCTGGGAGTTTTCGAAAACCATCGTGTGTGTTTTTGACCAGCTATTCACAAAAATTAAACCCAGAGGCCTTCAGCCGCTAATGCTCTACAGGCTTCAATTCTATTGTCTTTTGGAAAGACCAACCCTGGGTCGTATGACAGTAACCTACGCCAAAATCAGGGAGCTGTGAAGCTTCAAGTCAAGGACCACTCATCTTTTTGAGGCCTGTGGGCATTATCTGCCGAACCAGATAAACTGTTTTGGGCACCACACACTGCAGCTACAGCTGAATGCTTGCCGCAGGCCTCATTGCAACAGTCCTGCAGGCGCCAGCAAAGGACTGTGCGCACACATACAACCCCTGCACTAAGCGCACAGTTTTCTAAATAAAACTGCTTTCGTACAGCACAGATGAGCTCCCCCCTCGCTTCCAAGTGTGTGGGCTCGGGTCTCAACAGCTGTTAAAGACATCCAACACAACAGGCAGCCTCGTCTTATTAAATTTATTATTCCAGTGGTACTAATACATTGATTTGCACAATGACACCCATTTAGCAGAGAGGCTGCGGGCCTTCTAGCTTTTGCCCAACTAGAAAAGCCTCCCCCCCCTTTTCTCTCCCAATCCTAAAAGAAAATTCCTCCAGACTGCCCCCCTCCTCCCCATCGAATCCAGTATTTGAGTATGGAATGAAATTTCACGCACCCTTTTCTTTTCAGACGTTTGCCTGTCCTCCCCCAACCAGCAAAGCAAGGGTGGAAAAACCAGGTTTCCCCCCCTTCGCTTGGCTCCGAGCGTCAAATAAATATGGAGACGGGCAACGTTTCAGTTGCATCAAATGGAAATGTATTTTTGGAAGTTATAATGGCACTGGGTGAGCGGCCCCGCTAGTTCGTGTGCAGACGGCCTGGAACCTCTAAGGCTGAATGCAGACACGGCTCTTTTTAAAATCTGCCCCAAGACGGAAGATCAAGCAAGGAAGTGGC